GACGCGAAAGCATCGAAGCCGCAGCAGGCTTATCACGGCGACCGCTTTCGCAGGTAGCTTAGCGACGATATTGTAGTCGCCGCAGAGTTCTTTCTCCCACGCCATGATAAGGGCTCTAATTCTCCTTCCGCTGTAATCAATTAATGCTAGAAACGCGGGCGACGAGCCAGGAAGCCACGCAAGCCGCAACATCCGCTGGGATGCCGGATATTCCGTAATTCGTCTGCTGCCTAATCTCAGCATCCGGCTGGCAGCTTCAGTAGCGCGCAGAGAGGATAAGGAGGAGGAGGGGGAGGGGGGAAGGAGGGGAGGGAGAAGGAAGGAGGAGGAGAGGAGGAGAAGGGAAGAGAAGGAGGAAGGGGAGGGAAAGGGGAAAGGAGAAGGAAGATAGGGAGGGGGAGGGAGGGAGGAGAAGAGGGGGAAGGAGGAGGAGATGAGGGAAAGAAGAGGGGAGGGCAGGATAAGGTGGAGGAGGAAGAGGTGAAAGTGGATGAGTACAAGAGGAAGGACGCTGAGGAGGAGTAGGAGGAGGAAGAAGAGATAAGAGTGAAGGGATAGAAAAAGAAGGACGACGAATAGTCACTGATTCACATTTCGCTCTTCGACATCTGATTCACACACTGCAGGTTTGCCCCCCTTTTTCTTCCTCCCTTCACAATTTCTACTCCTCTACCCTCCTCCCTGCTCCACCCCCCCCCGCCTCTCGCCTCCCCCACCTCCTCATCTACCCTCCTCCCTGCTCCACCCTCCCCCGCCTCCTCCACCTCGCTTAGCAGTCGCCGCCTCCTCCGCATTCCACGCATACGTTGCAAATGAAGAGTGCGAATCGTCGCCGGCAATTTCTGCGAAAGATTTCTCGTTGGCCGGCGCGCGAGGAATGTGCGGCATGCGAGCAGTGATTAGCGGCGCCACTGTCGCCGTCACGTGCACCCGCGGGGGCGGGGAGGGGAGGCGGGGGGCTCTCACGCGCCAGCGTTCAACACGCGGCCACGGTGCGCCGTGTATCAAAGAGATTAAAAAAAACTGAATATAGCAGAGTCGCATTTTCTCCTATTTTTATTAAGCAGCGTTGCGGCGTTACGTAGATATAGTGCAGAAATCAAGAGCGTGGCTGTTGACTCAAGTCAGAATGTTAGCTTATATATATACATATATATATATATATATATATATACCAACCCTATATTAACCACGCCGCGTCCACCCTCCTCCCTGATCAACAGAATAACTGCAATCGAGCACATATGCTAGAAGAAGTAAGATCGATAATGAGGGGGCGCGGGTATTCCTCCTTGTTCCCCTAGGTCTCTATTTATATTATTTACATGCGGCTAATGTCACTCACTTATTGTCAGTATCAGTCACTTATTGTCAGTATCACTCACTTATTATTAGTATCACTCACTTATTGTCAGTATCACTCACTTATTGTCAGTATCACTCACTTATTGTCAGTATCAGTCACTTATTATCAGTATCACTCACTTATTATCAGTATCACTCACTTATTATCAGTATCACTCACTTATTATCAGTATCACTCACTTATTATCAGTATCACTCACTTATTATCAGTATCACTCACTTATTATCAGTATCACTCACTTATTATCAGCATCACTCACTCCCTCACTCCTTCCTTCCCTCCCTCACTCACCTGTATGAAGAGCCAGGAGACCATCAGAGCCAGTCCGCTGTATTGGCCGTTGAAGCGGTAGTGGTAGGCGTAGAAGGCGAAGTGGTACAGGTAGAAAAACCTGCAGCCGAACAGAAGCACGTGTGTATAGTAACGGAGCGAAGATACGGTCAACACACATATATATATCAGAAGTAGATAATACTAGGGGATCCCTATTATCTACTTCTCATATATATATACATACACGAATGCACATATACCACACGTGCATGCGGGTACGGATGCACGAACGCACGGACTCATATATATATGTATCAATAGCTCATAATAGAGATTCTATTGTATTCTATTGTAGCGATTTCTATATGTATGTATATAATATATATATATAGCATATATATATACTTATATATAGATATATATATATATATATATATTAATTTATATATATAGCATATATATATATAGCACACACGTGCATGCGGTACGGATGCACGAACGCACGGACGCATATATATGTATGTATATAATATATATATAACGTTTTTAACCTTATATATAT